ACCCCCGGGGCGGAGGGGGTGGCAGGGCTCGGTCGTGCTGCCCGGCGGGGTCCTGGCTCCCCGGTCAGCAGAGCAGTTCGGGGCATCGCTCCTCGCACACCCCCGGGGTCCTCAGAGCCCCCCGAGCCCTTCCAGAAGGTGGGAACCGGCATGGCTTAACGCCCGGAGAGACAGAGCTGGAGGAGCCCAATACCTTTTTAGGGCCAGAGGGATTCACGGGAAGCCTGACTTCATCTCCCCTGGCAGAGTCCACAGTCTCCCCCAGTCCTGGGCAGGGCCATGGGCAGCATACGTCCGGTATGAGCATCCCTCGGGTATGAGCATCCCCCTGTGGTACCCTGAGGATGCTCACACCTGAGAGATGCTGCCGTTACCAGGGGGATGCCGTTAGCAGAAGGATGATGGTATCAGGGGGATGACAACTCGTTGCTCATAACAACATCACCACGGGTCACTTAATTCCCAGGTGAAAAGCTCCCTGGGCACTCCACCTCTCCCCAGAAGGCTGGCCAAGGCAGCAGGAAAGGTGTGAGCAGCACCAAAGGGCAGAGGAATAGCAGTTCACCTGCTTCACCTCCTGCCTTGCCTCTGGCAGGGCTGGGGGTTAGCCCTTGGGTTTCCACATCACCCCCCTTACTGTGATAGCCAGTGGCTCCTCTCTTCAACTTCAGCCCCCAAAGTCCACATGTCAAACCATATTCTTTGTTTCCTTCAAGAAACAAACTCACCTTCTAACCCTTCTTGGGTGAAACCCTTGGAAACGTGACTTGTACCAGCTCATGGAGCATGAGGGGAGGGAAAGCAAAAGAGCTCCATATCTTGTTATTTAAAACCCTGGTGGTGATTAAGCCAGGCTGATGATCCAGGGAGTCTGACTCATCATTTTTTTTAAAACACTCGGTTCTGGTGAGAGAGGAATTTACTGCTGCTGTTCTCCAGCAGCAAACCACCCCATCCCCACTGGAAACTGGAAGCAGGATGGGGCAGAGGCTCCCAGGCTGGGCCTGTATCCACATCCCCGTCCCACAGCACCTTTTTTCTCCCCAGGTGGTCTCTGCAGAGTTTGGGGGCAGGAGGCAGGGGTGTAAATCTCTGCAGCTGTGTGTCTAATTAAACTTAAGCCAAATTAAGCCATCCCAGAAAAGTCAGTAGCCGGTGCCACTCCACCCTTGTTTTCCAGCCTCCTGAGCTCAGCCTCTCACCCCTTTGCCAGGGCCCTTCGCACGCGAGCCGTACACGGTGTTCCAGGAAATAATGCCATGTCATATCCCCTCCACCCACCGCTTCCGTCCAGCGATGGGAGAGGCTTTGCAGGAGCGCCGAGGGGTCACCATGCTGCCCAGGAGCTGCTGCCACCCCCGCGGAGTCACCATCAGCCATGCCGACCCGGCCAGCTGCAAGATGACCCTCACCACCACCACACTGGCAGCCAGCATGGCCCAGGCTTTCTTCTGCCTCCTGCTCTGCATCCCCCGGGGAAGCTCCTGCCCCCCCAGCTGCCAGTGCACAGAGAGGGCAGGGGCGAAGGCTGTCCTCTGCAGCTCTCAGCACCTGGAGGAGATCCCTAAGGACATCCCCAGGGATGCAGTGTTCCTCAAGCTGGACGCCAACAGCATCACCAGGATCCCCAGCAATGCCTTCAGGCACCTCTCCCACCTGGAGGAACTCGATCTCTCCAGGAAATCGCCGGGGCAGCTTTCAAAGGGGTGGCAGCAGGGCTGCGGACGCTCGACCTGTCCAGCAACCGCATCCGCAGCATTCCCAAGGAGGCCTTGCTGGCACTCAACGCCAAGCTCCGGCTGGCCAACAACCCCTGGCACTGCGAGTGTGCCTTGCAGGAGGTGCTGGGGGAGGCACGGCTGGACCCCGACTCCGTCCAGGACATCACCTGCCACACGGCCCAGCAGGAGGAGTATGTGGGCAAACCTCTGCTCCAGGTCCTGGATGCTGGAGTCAACTTCTGCAGTGTGCGCCAGAGGACCACGGACGTGGCCATGTTCATCACCATGTTCGGCTGGTTCACCATGGTCATTGTCTACGTGATCTGCTATGTCAGGCACAACAGGTACGACACCTGCAAGTACGTGGATTACCTGAAGTCAATGCCGATCACCCAGGGCCACGCAGAGACCACCAGCACGGCCCTGTAGCACGGGGTTGGGCTGCCAGCTCCCAGCTGCTTCACAGGGAGCCCATGGCCAACTGGCTTCAAAGCTTCTTGGTGGGATTACCCAGTGCTTGCTCCAGTCCTGCAGATAAGTGCCACTGACCGTCCCCCGCAGCAATACTGGACCGAGCGTGAGCAAATGACATGGAGGAGGGATGCTAGGGACACCTGATGCAGACCTGTCCATGGAGACCAGATTCCTGGGGACAAACACCCCTGCCAGACCCTTTTTCCCTGCCAGAGCTGGACTCACAGGGAATGCAGCAGCCCCCGTCCCATGCTTATGGTTTGGAGAGAACAAGCCCCTGGGAAGGGCATGGGGATGAGGGTGGGGGATTTGTGTGGCCAGGAGGACCCTGGGGTGCAGAGGGTCACCACAGCAGGGTCACCCCATCCTGGCTCCAGTGAAGGACCTTGTGGAGAGCAGGACATCATCCCCAGGCCCCACGCAGCATCTCGGTGACCTCTGCCTGCCTCCAGCAACCTGAGGGGATTTCCCAAATCTTTGGTTCCTCAATAAAGCTCTGCACACAGGGAAAACCCTCAGGGTTTGTGCTATTCTGGGAGCTGAGTGGGGAGGGCAGTGGTGCTGGGGGGTTTGGAGCTGGGTGTCCAGGGAGGGCAGTGGTGCTGGGGGGTTTGGAGCTGGGTGTCCAGGGAGGGCAGTGGTGCTGGGGGGTTTGGAGCTGGGTGTCCAGGGAGGGCAGTGGTGCTGGGGGGTTTGGAGCTGGGTGTCCAGGGAGGGCAGTGGTGCTGGGGGGTTTGGAGCTGGGTGTCCAGGGAGGGCAGTGGTGCTGGGGGGTTTGGAGCTGGGTGTCCAGGGAGGGTGGGGGGTTTAAGCTCATTGTAATTCAATCTCTCCCAAAGCAGACCAGCCTAAATTCAATGTACCAGCACGACTTCCATTAGGTGCTGTCCCCTCCATCCTCAGCCCAGCCTGCCTCAAGCAGGGATCAGCTGCCAAAATGCATCTGGTATGTTTTACCTTATCTTGCCCTTCTTCGGGGCTGAATTAGAGTCAATGCTGAGGGCTCAGTGTGATGGAAGCAAAAAAAGTTCTCCCTTGTCTCACAAGCAAGAAATGTTCCTTCCAGCAGAGCCAACTGAATGGGGGGAGGAGGGAGGGATGCAGAGGCTCTCCTGGGTCTGAACTCTGGGCAGCTCAGACTGTGACCCCTCAGCCCTTCTTGGGGGCTGGTGCCTCCTGCAGGCTCCCCAGCACCAGGGTGGGTGGCCCAGTTCCAGCAGGAGACCTGGGTCTGGAGAAGGATGAGCAATGCCCTGGGACAGTCAGGTGAGGGGGAAGAGAGGGGCAGAGCAGCTCAAGCACCCTCATGGGTTGAAGGCTGGTTGCACACAGTTTATTAGAGCTCTGGTTAAGCAAAAGAGTCCTCCAGCAAAGGCAAGGAAAAGAAAAGAGGCCACAGTTTCACCTGGAACAGTTTTGGGTCTTTCCCATGCCCATGGTAGCTGGATTGGTCCCAATGCACAGCAGGTTTTCTCGGGAGTCGCTAACCTCATGCAAAGGGGTGCAAGGACCAGCACTGGTCCTCATACACACTGACAGGTTTGTACAGCACATGTCACTCGTCAAGGATGACCCAAACTGGCCACAGCAGAGCAGGAAGGTGGGCAGGCACCCATGGCAGTGGCATGGGGGTAACAAAGCCAATGAAGATGACACAAAGAGTGGCTGCAATGTCAAACCAGATGGTCCTCAGCAGCATTGCAACCACAGGCGCAGGGCAGACAGAACCAAGACTGGACCCACCTTTTCCCCCAACTTCTCACATGCTGTTTACTCCCCTCTTGCCATGCACCCACCCTGGCAGCTCATGCTCTGCTCAATCTCTTCCTTCCATGGCTTTGTGCCAGCTCTGGCCACAGCCACTGGCAGCTCTGTGTCTTTTCTGGCTAGAGATTGTCAAGCACCAGGGTTCCAGTGAGCCTGGGGAAGCACCTGGGCACCAGGCACCCTGGGCAGGACATAAGTCTGGAGCATGGCGGGAGAGCTTTCCCAGGAGAAACAGCACCAAAGCAGGGTGGCAGCCCCTTTGCCAGCCCCCAGACAAGGCTGCAGGGAGCCCTGGAGCTCTCTCCTCCTCCTCCTCCCCTTCCTGCAGAGCACACAGTCAGCTGCCCAGCTGATGCTGCAGCCATTCCTGGGCTCTGTGTCCATCTTCACCTGGATGTCCAGCTTGCCCCAGTCCTAGCAATGAGCCGAGCGTGTCTCAGCTAACTCAGGTGGTTTTCAGCTTGAGCACCTTGGAAAGTGGCTCCTTGGCACTGGAGTAGAGCAGGTAGGAGCCCTCGGTGGTGTGAAATGCCTCCCAGTCTCTACAGCCAACAGTGGGGAGGTGATGGGCCACCACAAAGCCTTCGTAGCCTTGCCACCTGCACAGGGAGGGCAGTTAGATCCCAGGGCATGAGCTGGGCACCTGGGAGGGGCAGAAGAGCTGAGCCGTGGGGCTGGCATCTCCCACTTCCCTGCTGTGGTTCAGGGTGGGATGTCCCTCACTGGGGCTTCCCATTCCTGCCTGAAAACAGGAAGCAGTCCTACCCATCCTCCCTGGGCAGATGCAACAGGTTGCCCCTGTGCAGGGTTCCTGCTGGGAACCACCCCCAACCCTGCCCTCCACAGTACCTGTAGATGATACTGTTAACGGAGAAGGTGAAGCCATCGAAGGAGTTTGCTACCACCAGAAAAGAGTCATCTCCCACTGAGAAGAACTCCCAGTCCAGGGCACTGGGGGTAAAGCAAGCAGAGGGGCAAGTGAGGTGGCCTCTGTGTGGCCAGCTGAAGAAGGGGCTGTGTGTCCATGGGGCTGAGCCCAACCCACCCCAATCTCTGCCACCCTGATGACACACAGAAAACCTTACTCTTCCCAGGCTGTTCCTGAAAAAAATCCACCCTCATTCCCAAATCCAGGGCCTTCTCCCAGCTGCACTGGGATTTGGTGTCAAGGACCTGTCACTCATCGCCCTCCCCACCAGTCTCAGTCCCTGGCAGGGTGGAAACCCGCAGGAATACTCCAGGAGACAAACAAGTGCAGGTTTAAACTAGATGAGGAGAGGCACTGGCACAGGTTGCCCAGAGCAGCTGTGGCTGGCCCATCCCTGGGAGTGTTCCAGGCCAGGCTGGACAGGGCTTGGAGCCACCTGGGCTAGTGGAAGGTGTCCCTGCCCATGGCAGGAGGGTTGGAATGAGGTGAGCTTTCAGGTGTTTTCCAACCCAAACCATTCTGGGATTCAGTGATTCCGTGAGACCTCTGGGTTGCTCAGGGGAAGGAGGTGGACTGAGGATCACCCTGACTCCTTACACAGGTACCTGTAGGTGAGAAGGTCCTGGAATTTAACAAACATCTGGGCAGTGATGTTCAGCTCATAGATGGAGGAGTTGATGGCATAGAAGTTGGAGGGTGCTGGCATTCCACTGTCATAGCTGTGGCTGTTGGCAACAGCCAGGAAGACTCTGTCCCCGATACGAAAAACCTCCCAGTCAGCAGCACCAAATGTCTGTGGGGAAGGAGGCCATGAGGAAGCTGGATGTGGCTGGCTTGTCTAAACCCAGAGTGGGGACTAAGGAGCCTTACCAGGATAGACTGAAAGAGCTGGAAAGAGCCACTGAGCCAGATGTATATGTGTGAGTAGATCTTAGTGGATGTGCCATTGAATGTGTTAGCCACAGCCAGGAAGGAATACGGCCCAATGGTGAAAAATTCCCAGTCATAGGCTCCAGAGGTTGGGATGGTCTGGTTGGTTTCAAACAGCCCTGTCCTGGGGTTCCACCTATATATCACACTGTCTATGTTGTGGTTGTTCCCTGGGGGAGACAGAGGGACAGACGTGCACCATGAGAGAAAGGGATACCTGGCTTGTGTAAGGAACAAGACCTAGAAACAGGTTCAGCCATGTGAATATATGCCAGCAGGTCATGAGGCTGTCTGGTAGTGATCTGCTGCTCTCCAAAAAGTAGCTAAAGAGATTCTACAGCTTCCATCCCTACCTAGACCTTCCATCCCTGCTGAGAGTCTCTGCCCTGTCTAGAGCCTCCATCCCTACCTACTGCCTCTATCCACACCCAGTGCCTCCACACTCACAGCTGCACGCTCACCTCCCCAGCTTTTCCCTCCACTCTGCTCCAGCAGAAGATGAGCTGGAAGCTGCAGGATTTCCATAGCAACCAGAGGATGCTTTGATCAGGGTACCTGCTGCAGGGCACCTGCCATGGTCCCTGGTGTCACCCCAGGGCCTGTAGGGAATACGAGGGCTGGGTACCTTCTCTGTGGTTGACCACGGCGAGGAAAGTCTCCCCCTCGATGACAAAGGCCTCCCAGTCCCTGGCGCTGTACGTGGTGATCCTCTGGTATATGATGAATTTCGCTTTCCTGCGGCTCCACTTGTATATTACAGAGAGCTCCTGGCCCCTCTCATTCTGCTCAAAGTTTGCCACTGCTAGGAAGATCTGAGAAACAAGAAGCCATGACAGCTTGGTTTTCTCCTGTCAGAGGAGCATCGACAAGCATGGGCAGGAGGGAGGTGGGCTGGGGGGCCAGGGATGGAGGTAGCTGGTGTGGGGCAAGGCAGCCTGGCTAGGGCCCTGAGCAGTCCCCAGGCACCACAGTGTGCTCAGAGTGGGGTCAGGGACCCAGTGGCCTGCAGAGCTTTTTGTGCATGGCAGGGACATAACTTGCAGCCACAGTCTCTTGGAGGAGGGGAGGGAGAGCAGAGCTGCATCTGCTCATATCCCACCAGCCCCAGTAATGGGGAGCACAAAGGTGAAATGGGCTGGGGAGGGAGGAGGGTTTGGGCTACCAAACCTTTCCATAAGTAAAGGTGACTCAGAAGAAAAATTACAGAATTATTAAGTTCGGAAAATACCTGTGAGATCATTGTATATATATCTAATGTATATATTGCAGATACAATGATGATAACAATGATGATAACAATGACAATAACAATAACAATTCCCTGAGACAAAACATTTTTCCAGACCAAGAAACCCCTGTGCAAGCATCAGGGACAAATATGGGGCAGCAGAGGTGGCCAAGTGCAGGGAGCATATCTGAGCCCTGTCACGCTAGATCTACCACTCCAGTGTCCTTCAGATGGAGTGCCAGAGCTTATGCCCCAGTTTGGGCCAAAAAGAGGCACAGGGCCACAGCCCATAACGAAGAAACAGTCAGTGGGAGCATCTCCTGCCCCTTGTCCTGTGCAGGACCTTGTCAGTATCAGCCTGAGGCTTTGTCCAGCCGAGGAATAGCCATCCCCAAGGACAGGCCTGTGCTGGGTTTCTAGATGTAGTTGTGTCTCAGCAAAATGGTAAAACACAAAAAGACAGAGGAGAGAAAGTTTAATCCCCTAAACTATGTCCAAGGTTCCAAGCTTCAGAGAAGCCAGTGCTGAACAATTACAGTTTAACATACTGAAATATGGATGCACCTTCCAGGCAGACTCACCTTCTTACCGATGGTGAAATACTTCCAGGACTGAGCTTGATAGGTGGGAATGTTCTGGTAGGGCATAAACTTCCCATCAGTCCACTTGTAGATGGCTGATCCTGGTGGGGTGATCCGGTTGGCTGTGGCTGCAAACAGTCCCACCTTTGGGATGGTGAAGACCTCAATGCCCATTGTCTCAGAGTTGGTCACCAGGTTCTGGTACTCCTCCACGTAGTCCAGCCTGCGTTTGACTGGGACACCACAAAAAAGAGGGATGAGAGATCCTGGACAGACAGCCTGGAGTGAACAGGAGAGTGCCAGTGGGCAGAGGACATGATCTGCCAACCTTTAGGTTAACAAAGGGCATGAAGACTGGTGGCACCAGCCAGGTGGATGGACACTGGGAGAGACAGCAGGAGTGGAGGACTCAGGCAGAAGTGAGACTTTCATGCATTTAGACTGTGAGGCTATAAAAGCCATTGGGTTCCTTTGTTTGGGGTCCCTCCTCAGAGGCACCAGCTTGATCTGCTTCTGTGTTACTGCACTGTGAATAAATGTCTTTATGGAACAAGACATGTGAGACTCTGCTGTGGGAAGCCTGAGGTGGAACTGGTACAGAAACCTGGTCTGACTGTGTGTGAGGGGGTGTAGGGAGTCAGGTGGGAACCCCTGGGCTCACTGGAGCTGCTGCTGTGAAAAGGCTTTGGTCCCAGCAGTTAGTCTCTAACGTTGGGAATGCGACTGCTGGAGTCTCACGAATGGTCAGACTGGGAAGTTTCCTTAACAGGACAGACCAGGAGCTCATTCTTGTCTGGGAAAGCCCCATGAGGGATGGATAACGTGGAGAAGGTGGATGGTCCACAGCAGTGCTTGAATCCCCAGATGTTCTGGAGGTGTTGGTGTGGGCACTAAGAGCAAAGCAAAGCCTGACCAAGCAAGGGAGAAGCAGATGGACACCCCAGTCCCCTCACTCTGCTGCAGATTCCCATCCCAAAGTAGTCTCAAGGGCAAATCTCAGCTCCTGCTCTGCTGCAAGAGCCTCCCTCCCTCCCCAAGAGTACATTGTTCACAGTACCTTCCAGCATGGAGACCCAGGTACTGCCGTTGCAGAGGTACAGCCCTCGCCGGGAAGCATTGAACCAGAACTGTGCCTTGTCCTGCTTGGTGCAGCGTGGACGGGACCCCAGGGTCACCTTCGTGTCGGTCTCTGGGCATGGAGAGGAGTGAGGCAGGAGCCTCTTCACACACAGTGGAGGAGCAGAGAGGCAGAAGGGTTGGATGCCCTGGTCTCATCCTGATGATGGCCACCAGGGAATGGGGGAAACAGCATCCCAGCACCAAGCTGGGAATATACAGACTGGGAAAACTTCGTGTGAGGTCACTGGTGTGAGCCCTGTGCTACCAAGAGACCTGGGCAGGGTCACTTGGTCTCTTCAGGGGGTTTTGGACAGGGATTCCACCCTCCCCACATTGTGAAACAGAGGGTGCTGGAGACATCCTCTGCCCCTCCACTCCTGCTCTGTGCCCTGCCCCATGCAAGGACCCTCCCTGAGCAGAGGTGGAGGCAGCCAACAGAGCCCATGTCCCGAGGGACACTGACCGTAGGGGTATTTGAGCACCTCGTTGCTCGCTGGCTTCGCAGGGACGTCCTGGAGGACAGTGGGGACAGACAGCGTTGCTACCTTGAAGTTCAAGGCGTGGCATATCTGAGGGGTGGCATCAGCTCCTGGCAGCAGGACAAGCTGTCTCAGCAAGCCCTGGAAAAGTGGGAGCAGAAGGATGGAGAGCAATTCCAGCCAGACCACAGAGTGGGAAGTGCAGGTGATTCACTCCTTGGATTTCCTGCCCATTGCCTTCCCTCCTGGGCTGTGGAAGTCTCTATGGGATTCACACACACTGATCAGATCAGCTCAGGCAATCCAACAGCTTGAGGAGCACAGCTGCAGCTGCCTTTCACCACCCACAGCCATCTCTGCTGCTCACACAGTTGCCAGTGCAGGGGGCTGAGGGTCACCCCACGGCCAGCCCCACACCGTAGGCACCTACCGTGAACATGCCTTTCCTTCTCCGCCTGTTGCCCAGGTAGAAGTTGGCTCTCCTCACTGACAGCGCGGCTGGAAACGGCGTCTCCACCACCCTGGGGACAGGCAGAGAAGAGGCAGGGAACAATTTCACGGCATCTACTGGTGGCTGGAGATGATGGTGCACGAACATCACTCTGCCCACCCTCCTAAGCCCCTCACCGCTCCCCCAACCTACACATCCTTGGGGATGCTGCAGTCCACGGTCAAGGAGAAGGACTGGCCGGACACGGCCAGGATGAGCGTGTGCCACTGGTTGTCGGAGAGGG